CAATATACAGATCAAGTGTCTTTCATCTTACAGCAACCGCAGGCCCCCCCCCCCCCCCCTCTTTAACACCAGCTGCATTAAGTGTTGGTAGAAGAATGTTCAGGGTATACCCTAGTCGGGCACTCCCGACTAGAGAATTCTTACATGTCTCTTTCACAGAGAGCTAAAGAGTAAGTCCTCTGGCAACTTTTGAAAACTTTGCCCAGTCTGGCAACTCCGTGAAAGTCAGTTTTAGGAACGGAAACTGAAAGTATCTATAGATATTTTATGATATGATGATAACGATATTTATGAGCCCAAAAAAAGTTATCTCCGGCTCGGTTCAAGACCCAAGCAAAAGGGTCATGAAATTGATTTGACTCATTTATGAATATTTTGAATTAGAAATTAAATTAAATTTGCATGTTTAAATTTATCTTTGGATAGGAGTTAATTGTTGAATATGAGTGTGAAGGAATAATGCTAGAAAATAAAATAGAATAAATCCCGAAAAGCCTCAGTTGGGTAATTAATAGAAGTTATAATCCGGAATGTTGCACAACTGGACTTAAGCGGCTTTTGGCAAAAGTTGCACAACTTTTCTTTCAGTTTGCTTCAGTTTTTTGTTGTTGTTTGTTTTTTGTTACAGTCAATGCCAAAAGTGTGTGCACGAAGCATACTGAGTACCGTTTAGCAGCTGCCAGCTGCCAGCTGCCAGCTGTCAGTGTCAAATTCATTGTAAATTACAAGTTCATTTGCGGCTGGCATTACATCCGCCAACAAAAACGCGAAGAGATAAACTTCTGCTGCATAAATTATAAAAGTATCGCAAAGGCAGGTCGCGATCCCCTCGACACGGCGTCGGTTAGCTCGTAATGAAACTTAATGATGCGCCATTAGAGCAAGAGAGGGAGAAGCGGCTGTCGCTACCAGCTAACGGTGCAGCATGCATTTTGGGGCGCCACCGAAGCGCGAAGTTCAAATGCAACAAAGCCCACAACAGGTCCAGTGCGAAGGGCGGGCGGGGCGGGGTGGGGCATTGCGGGGCTTGTCGGTGAATAGTTCAGTTCTCCTTCTTCTTATTTACTTTGTGCCACAGTCAAACGCAAAAAGTAGCCATTGTCAGAGATGGTAAAAGATAAGCAAACAATAGACATAAGATATAGGAGATAATGCATTCCTGATTAACTTCGGTGCTTATGGTTCGATCTTTAGGCAATTTCAAGGGCATAAATATGACAATCAAAAATGTGCATATGCCAAAATGCAAGGATAGAGTTTTATTTTCAGTTTAAGATGAAATGGGACCAGCTAAACAAAAAGTAGAATATTCTTTATCTATATATACCAAAAAAAGGATCCACTTTGAGCTAAAGGAAGCAGCTGTACCAAGTTTAATTGAGACAGCCTCAGTTCGAGTCCTATTCACATGGAACATAGAGACATAGATCGGATCACATTTCATTTAAAATTTAAACACCCGTTGTAAGTGTATTCAAATTCACATAACTATGCGGAATATCAATCCGATGAATAGATCATCATTTCTCACATTATTACTTCTTAATTATCCTAAAAATGATGTGAAACAGTTACAAAACTAAACTAAACTAAACTAGATGGAATTAGCTTGAATAATCCTCGAGTTATGTTAAAAAGAAATAACATTTCTAGAGATCGATATTTATCGTTATTATGAAAATGGGGAAGGATATCGAAGGAAGACTGAAAGGACTTTTGGATACCCCGAACCCATTAAAGATGCGTAAAATGGGAAACAAAGAAAAGAAGCATCTCCGGCATCTCATCTCTAATCGAGTCGACCTAGTGCCCGCGCAGTACGAGTTTGTTGCGGACAATCGATAACAATCGATTAAAATCTATATCGAAATCCCGTTTTTTGAGCAAAGCTTTTAATGCCTAGAAGTACCACAGTTCACATGTAGCTTCTAGAATAGCATAAACAGAACACGAATCGTTCAATGTATACTTAGCTAACGCCAACCCTCCCCCCTTGGGTGAGCTGTATTTGGTGTTGGTAGAAGTAGGTTTAAGGTATCTCTTATTCGAGCACTCCCGACTAGCTTTTGTAGTTACCAAGATGAACAGACGGACATGACGGCAGATCTAAAGAGCTCGTCAATTTAAAGAATCAGGAATATATATATATTTACTTACACTTGGATTGAGAGTATAAAACTAAGAAATACATGGCATACAAGTAAGCAAAAATATTTTAATGATCCGATGGACAGAAATAAAGATTGATAATGCGAGTTATTTGAGGTAAGAAACAAGAAGAAGAGGGCGAACAAAAGCTCGGCACGCGTTCCAAGATGAACTGGGGGCGCCGCAGACATTCACCCAAATGTCGATAGTAATGATGACGACAATGATCATAATCATGAGCATAATGCTGATGATGATGATAATAATACGAATGATGTTAATAATTTATTGTTGAAGCAAAGCGCGAGCTGGGGCGAACTTCACTTTTCACGCTTTTATTTGATTAGTTGATCATCATCATTAATTATTATAAATTAATGAAGTTGCGTTTCGTTTATCGACGGCTATTTTTAATAACAACAACAACAACAACAACATATCTGCTGTCATTATATTAATAATTGCGGATATGCGCGCATTATTCTTAACTATTCCATTGTTCGCGAGCGGCCTGAGCGGGAGAGCGGGGCGGCATCTTTTGGGGCAGAGTTCTATTTCTGGTTTCGTTTTTCGCTGCTTTTGGAAAATCCGAAGCTTGAGAACCTGTCGCCCCTGCAATTCGCTCGAACATGATTGCGCAAAATTCTTTCGAATGCGCTAATTTTGACTGGGGCATACGAGAAATTGTTAAACAATTCGTTAACGAGCTTTTCGATTGAAGATTATGACTGTTAAATGTATTTCATAATTGAAGTTTTTTGTTTAAAAAGTTTAATTTGAATATGAAATGATGAACAGACAGATAGAAAAAAACATTTTGCGCCGTATTAAAAATATATATATATAGGCTTACATTTACTTGTTCGTGGATAGCTTCAGATACTATAAGGCTATAGCTAGCTTATTTTTTGTTACTTCATGCCTTAATCAAATTTATTTCACAATTGTTCCATCTAATGCTCAGATAAACGTCTTTAAGCCTTCTTACAACGTTTACGAATGACAGTGCAAGAGAGAATTGAAAAACACAGTTTGACACTTAAAAACATAAAAGAAGATTCTGCACAAATTATGTGTAGAACAAGAGGCTAACAAATTACTGCAATGCTTCATGCTTCAGCAAAGAAAACGTTTACGAATGACAATGCCAGAGAAACTCGAAAGCTTAGAGCTTTTTAAAAATATTAAACAACACATCAAAAGTACTTGAAAAATTGACGAATTGAATAATTATGTGTAGAAAACGCGCTTATAAAATTGACGCAATGCTTCATGATTCAGCAATTAGAACGTTTACGAATAATAATGCAAAAGAGAACATGAAAAACATATCCAGAACTCTAAGAAAACTTGAGCAAGTGAGTGCAACAATTCAATTCACATCAAAAGTGAATGAAAAACATACGAATTGATTAATTATGTGTAGAAGAAGAGGTTACAAAAACGGTCGCAATGCTTAAAAAGTGATATAAAAGCAACTCCAGATAATAATATCAGAATAAGTTGTTTAATTATAAAAAATATATATAAGTATTATGAGCTATTTCTAAAGACTAAGACCTTAGATTAATTGAAAGAGAATAAGAAAAACTTCAGCTGAGCGCAAAACGTTTACGAATGCGGCACAAAGAAGAATTCCGAAAATTATGTGCTCAGAGCCAAGAAATTGAATCGAAATGCGTGTGTAAAGCCGTAAAGCCGTTTGTAAGCCCTAAGCAAGAAGCTATTAAAGATATTTGTTGGAAATTCAACTTATGGTTAAGACAAAAATTCAAGAAAAAATAAAAAATAAATTAATTTAAAGCGGCTGAAGAAGTGTTGAAGCTACCGTTTAGGGAGTTGGTGTTGTAGTAGTTGTTGTTGTTGTTCTTGTTGTTGTTGTTCTTGTTGTTGTTGTTGCTGTTGTTGTTGCTGTTGTTGTTGCTGATCGTCTCAAGTTGTTTACGTCGCACGGCTCCGGCGGCACTTTGAGCTCCGTCTTTTGGTTGCCGTATTGTAATGGCCCTCGAGTGAGGGCACTTTTTGTTATTGTTCGAGCCACTCGAAAGCGCGAGGCGAGCCGGAACTCCAAAAAGCTTCAAAAAAATACCTACTCCAAAACCTTTCAAAGGTGTGTGTGTGTGTGTTTTACTAATGATGGCTGCTGCTGCGCGATGCTATAATTAGTTAAGCCGTCGCGTATTTTGACCAAGTACCCCCCCCCCCCCCTCACAGCAATCCTTCCCCCCCTCTCCGCCAACAAATAGCTGCTACGCCCACACAAAAACACAAGCCCAGCTATCTGTGGGGCCAGGCCCAAGCTCAAATTTTGGCATTAATTAAAAGAGGGAGGCAAATAAAAAAAAGAGATTAAACCGCAACTAAAATCAAATTTGAGCAACAGCAAAAAAATGAAAAAATGAAAAATTGCAAAGTGTTTTGGTGCATGTAGCAGCCGCCTCGACAGCGTTTTGGCTAATTGAAAGACACGGCAAGCGGGCAGCAAAAAACAGTCTTTAAAGAACGAAGAAGAAGCAGCAGCAGCAGCAGCTAGCAGAAGTCTGTTGAACAAAAAACAATTAAAAAAAAAATGTTTGAGCGCTGAGCGAGACTATAAAAAGCAAAGCGCCGCAGCGAAACCGCAAGCAGTCGGCGCTCAAGCGTTTCAGTCGAGAGAATAGCATCCAAAAGATACAAAGATACATAGCTAACAAGATACAAAGATACAAAGCTGCAAGGATACAAATATATATATATATATATATATATAAACAGTGCTGCGACATCAATTTTTTTGTTCTTGTGCTTCGTGTTTATTTTTGTTTTTTTTGTGTTGAGTGAAGTTTTCGAGTGCGTGTTGCAAGTGCCACAAGATGTTGCAGCCCATTGTCCTTGTTGCCTGCGCGTTTCTGGCCAGCGCCGCAGCTGGTCGCCCGCCGCAACGCTATTTGCCCGCCAATCAATATCCGGCACCGCAGGCCAGCCAGCTGCACTATCACGGCGTTAGCGGCCACTCCCATGGCCGAGTCGGAGGCGGAGGCGCTGGAGGAGTCGGCGTGGGCGTGGGAGTGGATGGCTTCGCTGGAGCTGGCGGACATGGCGGACATGGTGGACAGCGTCAGGCGCAGATACCGATTGTGCGCAGCGATTATCAGAGCGATGCCAGCGGCAATTATAACTTTGGGTAATTCGAAAGATCTCGTCTTTAATGTGCAAATTGTTCCCAGTGTAATCTGTTCTCATGCGTTTTGTTCTATACCTTCCGATTCCTCAGATGTATCGACATTTATAATTACTTCCTTAACTGTTCTCAGCAAAGCCTCTATACCTTCTACACCTTTAGTTTCCTTGACTGTTCCCAGTAAAACACAACGAAACATCTCTTCTCAGGCGTTTTGTTGCACTGTTCCGATTCCTGACATCTATCTACGATTATCACAACATCTTTACTTTCCTTAACTGTTCTCAGCAAAACCTCTGTTCATTTGTTCTCAGTATCTTTGGTGGAGTGTTTATTCTATAACTTCAGCACTTTCTGATTCCTTAGATCTATTCAGGTTAATAAATACTTCTTTATTTTCCTTAACTGTTCCCAGCAAAACGATTGTTTCAATTGTTTCATCTGTTCTCAGTCTCCTTGTTACAGTGTTTGCTTCATAACTATTACTTAATAGTTCCCGGTGATTGATTCTGTTCTCAGTATTTTGTTGCAGTGTTCGTTCTATGTCTAACCTTTCGATTTCTGAGATCGATTTACAAATTTGGATCTACTTTAGTTTCCTTAATATAACAAATAATAAATTCTTTCGATTTTACTGATAAACTATTCCTAGCTATACCAATATTACCAATGTCTATTTATTGAACTGTTCCCAGCTATATAACTGTTTCTAATGAACAGCCCCAGCTGTTCGTAGAGACTCAGCGAGCGCTCATTTTATGCCATATTCCCAGTTATCTTTGCTCCCAGTATGGCTTATGCTAATACAATGTCTAGCAATCGCTGTTCCCAGTATTTCTCACTGAAAGTCAAAAAAGGACTTTAACTATTAGAGAAGAGCTCCAACTACACCTAAACCAACTTAACAATTTTTTCAACCAACACCTTTCCCAGTATTTTATAATACTTAACCATGTGATATGATGATCTGTTTGAAATCTACTGCAATTTCAAGGGAATAGACTGACATTAATAGAGCAACGCCTCAGCTGATTAAGAAAGTGGATAATCATGAAACAATTGAAGAGTTCTTCTTTAAACCAATCTTTGCAGCTTTGATACGGGCAACGGCATCCATCGCGATGAGACGGGCGAATTCAAGGGCGGCTGGCCACACGGTTCCCTCGGCGTGCGCGGCTCCTACTCCTACACGGGCGACGATGGCCAACAGTATACGGTCAATTACAAGGCCGACAAGGACGGTTTCCATGCCGAGGGCGCACACCTGCCCACCTCACCATCGCTGCCCGCCGAGTAAGTGACGATTGCTTCACCATTCGAAATACCCGATTATACGATCTTTCTTTCCCCCTATTTTCTGCTTCTCCTATTTCTTGCAGGCATCATCAGCAGCGCAGCGGAGCCGGCGGCTCGGCTGGCGGTTATCATGGCGGCGCCTACCATGGCTCCGCTGGCAATGTGCAAGCGCCTTCGTCCCGCTATCTGCCACCCGGCTACCGCCAGCGCAGACACTACTAGAACCCCCAATTGGACACACAATCTGAGCACTCAGCGCACACACACACACGAATGTACATCCTTGGCAGCACACAGATTAGTTATATTTTTTTTGTACTCTATAAAAAGTTGTATTTTTGTTTTTGCAAGCCAATAAAATATGTTAGAAATTTTCGATAATTTTTGTGCGTTTTTGTGATTGATATGAATATATAAATAAAATCCAACTAAAAAGTGCCGAATGTGTCCAACTGGGAATTGCCCCAAATCCAACGATAAGCTGGACTGAGAAATGCAAATGCATTCTTGATTAACTTCGGTCTTTAAAGTCCGATCTTTAAGACACTTTCAGAGCGCAAAGCTCGAGCTGTAAGAATGCAATTTGTTCAATTTTGACAGATTTTCAAAAACTGAAATACTTATAATATATGAACATATCCTACATAGAAAGTTTTGTGTATCTATCTCTTTGTGTATAATCCTCGAGCTATGCTGAAAAATTAAACCTCAAAAGCGATATTTATCGATAAAATGCCTTAAAAACCCCTGTCTCAGCATCGATATTTATCGATTTTATGAAAATTTGGTTGGGCTGACAATGAACCAAACAAAATCTCGAGCTACGTATGTTTAACAAAAGCGAAGCACAGACTAACATGGCTAGATCGCCTCAGCTCGACGTCGCGCTCAAGATTATAAGCCTTAGTGCCTAATCGAATATATAGTACGAATGTTATCGGAGATGCCACACATATATTTTTACTATTTTTCAATATATCACGAGAATCCTTTGGAAATTCTACCTCATTTACCTTTCCTACCTTTGCCCGGATTTAGCCAGTATATTTCAGCTCAGCCTCTCCACATTTAACAGTGCTTTTTTTTTGTTGTTGTTGTGCAAACTTTGTGTCAGCTGCACAGAGACCAAAAACACATTGTCTAGCCACGCCCCTTTGGTGTTCTTATATCCCAGAGTTTGGCAAAGTTTCAGAGGCTGGCAAAAGTAAAGCTGATTAATATGCAGTTAAGCAGTTGAAGCAAACACCAAAAATCCACAAAATTGGCAAACAACCATCCGCCCCAAGCCCCACGCCCCACGCCCCTCGCCCTGCTCTGCCTGAAATCAAAACAAGCTAAAAAGTTGTCGCACTCAACTTTTTTGCTGGCAACTTTCTGGCCATTGTTGGGGGCATTAATCATACAACGTATCCATATATAACAAACCGAGCCACAACATATACCATATACCCCTTACCCTGACCCCACAGAGCATGCCATTTACCATACTTAGTCGGCAGCAAAGTGGGGGGCAAAAGAACTTAAAGATGTCGGCGACAATTGCAGCTAAGAAGAATAAGTACAGATGCGCTGAGCAGTGTGCTCGACTCGCAGTTACCCTGTAGCGCTGCAGTTAATACATATTTCATTGCTCTTAATTCAATTTAAATGCAAATACCAAGTTTTTTTTTAACTAAATGCCTATAGATCCTGCGATTTATGTTTGGTTTTTCAAAGTACAGTAAGCCTGGGTAATGAGACAGAGAGCATAACAAATTTTTTAATTACAATCTCTATAGATCCTGAGATCAATTAGTGTGGTTTGGGCAAATAAAACCCATCGAGACTCTCGATGAATGCCAAAAAGCTTCTACAGTCTACCCAATTCTACGCAATTATTTTTTTTTGCATTTCCATTGGTACACGATGCATAAATACAACGAGAACGAGTTGGATTATCTTCGGCACACCGAACTTTGAATACTCTTATAGACATTTGCCTTACACTGAGTTCGGTGAAAATATCGCGGAAAACAGAATATTTGGGCATAAAAAAACTGATTTTTCGAGCGATTTCTTTCTCTATAAAAGCAGCATATTTTAAATACTTAGTTAATGCCGAGTTTGGTCAAGATATCCTGAGAAACAAACAAGTTTCCCATACACGAAGGTTACATTCAACCGATCGTTCCTATGGCAGCCATATGATATAGTTTATTTATGATATGATATATGATCTAGGTAAACAAAAAAGCATTCCTATTCAAGACTCTTCTTTTCCATCGATCGTTCCTATGAAAGCTATATGATATAGTGATCCGATCCGGCCGGTTGCAACATAAAACTACCTGCAACAGAAAGTCAGACCTATGCAAGGTTTCAAAACAAGATAGCTTTACAACTGAGAGACTGCTTCGCAAAGAAACTTGGACTTGGCTATATCGACTAGTCTGATCTGGAATATATATATGTATATACTTAATGGGCTTGGAGGTGTCTTCTGCTAAGCACTGCACAATTCATGACAACATTCGAATACCCTCTCGATGCATATAAACATGAATGAAAAGTAAAATGAGAGACTGTCAAGTTTTTAAGCATTGTCTCTGACAAAGTTTTTTGTCATAGATTTTTTTCTTAAGCATTTTCCCAAGTTTGGGGCTCTTTTAACGTCGCATTTTGTCTCGCTCTCTGTCTCTCTCTCTCTCTCTCTCTCTCTTTTTCTGACTATTTTCATTTCGTATTCGCATTACGTTTATGTTAAACGACGGACGCATTAATTAAAATTACACAGCGCCGCTCGGGGCCATCCTTTTGGCATTGGTTGAATGTGCGGCGAGGGGAGGGAGGCAAATATTTTCTGGCTGTTTTTGGGAGTTGGGCTCTTCATAAATTAAAGGGGCGCTTATGAATTTTATGAATTATATTTTCTCCTTTAGGGAGTGCAGACACCTAACCAACACCAGCCTCTTCTTAACCCTTGAGGGGGGGGGCCCCCTCACTCTCCCTACGCCCCTGGGGCCAGCTGCCATCAAGTAGGCAGCGCGTCTTATTGAATTTCATTGGTTCGCCTTCTCTCATTTGGGCTGCAGTCGTCGGCAATCATTTGCATGCATATCTCTGCATGTTCAACTACACACAAGTTACACATGTTCATCAGCAGAGTACGCCCCCAGCCCCCTGGCCCTGCCCCAATCCCCTCCCCCATCCACTCCATTGAATATAAAATACCCCACCTTGTGCGCTGCACTCACTTAATTTTATGCCAAAACAATGACACGCCATAAATTTAAACGGATTTGCGTTGCGCCTCGAGCAAAACGCGTTTACCAACCCTCAACATGTCTGGGCGCTGCAGTGGGGGACTAAGGGGGGAGGGCGGTAGTGTTGTGCAGTGTTGACTGCAGGGTGGGCAACTTAAGCACACCCACGCACACCCCACCCACCCACACACACACACACACACACACACAACTTTGAGCTTCTTTTTCGTTGGCCCAAACGCATTTTGAAGTTTTTAGTGTCAAGTGTTTGACAACACTCCAATTGCAACGCTTTGCAACACCAACGCTTGAAAATGAGTAGTAAATTTACGAATCTAAAGTGTGCTCTCAAACGCAGCTGGGCAATTAAAAGCGAGAGTTTCACCTGAATAAGTTGGCCTAAATACAGTTTAACAGAGCAGAATAATCGTTGAACCCATTGAACATGTTGCAAATATATTTTACAGGTAGAAGGAAGACCACAGTACGAGTTTGTTTCCGATAATCGATAACCAAGCAATCGATAAGAATCAATATCGAACTCTTGTTTTTTGAGCAATTCTTTTAGGTTTTAATGGTTGGCAAATAGTACATACAAATCAAGCGTCTTTCATTTTATAGCTACCAAATTGGACCCGAACCGAATCAGAAAGTCGAACCTAAGCCCAACAATAGTCTGTTAACAGGCAGAAGAAAGCTTCCCTGACCTTAAAAAGTACAAAATATTCTCTGTCAGTCTTAGAAACTATAAAATCGACAGACATGACATTTTAAAAATATATTGCCGAGTACGTAGAACAAGCTTATCTTTTTCCGGCATCTGCTCCCTTTTCTTATATTATCGATACATATATATTTTTATGGTTTTGATATCATTTCTCATACTATCGATAAATATCGATTTTGATACTTTTGATAGCATTTGTCATGTTATCGATAAATATCGATTTTGATAGTTTTAAGCATAGTTCGAAGTTAATGAAAGCCAGCTACTGCAAATTTTGTTTATAGGCTCGCGTATAAAAGACACAGATAAGCAATATTTTTCAATCTGAATACCTCAGCCCATTTCCCGAAGAATAGAAAAAAACGAATATACTTGAGTTAAAGCCCTGCCCTTTGGTATGTGCACACATTTTGATGACAAATTTAGATTTTGAATATTTCATAATGATCAGAAAAGAAAAATAGGTTGGGACTGTGGCAAAATAGTCAAGGAATCCTTGGCTCAAAGTTAAGCTTCCAATCACTTTAAATGATGCTTTGCTGATAATTTGATAATAGATATTATTATGAGAAATATTGCTTCAAGCATTTAACAGCTAACAAGTTAAAGCAAATGAAGCTTTAGGTGCTTTAAAAGTGTAAAGTTTCTGAAAGTTGGGGGAAAAAAAGGAAGCCTACGCCAAAATTAGCGCAAAGAAAACGAAGTTTATAGAAGTCGATGGCTTAAAGTTTCGCAACGCAAAACTTAAGGCCAAGAAACGTGCAAATAATTTGCAAAATTCTGGGGAGCTGGGGCCAGTGGCAAATGGAAGATGGAAGATGGGAAATGGAGCATTTGGCACGCAATTGCGTGCCTGTCAACTTTGCCGGCTGCAGCGTTGGGCGCCACCTAGCGGCGTGTCAGTTAGCGTTGATGTTTATATACGCACACGAGCACACACACACGAGGACACACACACGCACACACGCACACACATGCACCTGTCTTGGCTACACTTTAGTTTGTTATTGATATGGCAGTTGCACGCACAACGCGCCGCTCCACGCACTCGCCCAAAAGCTTGCCATGTTTCAGGACCAACCACCCAGCTTCTATCCATCTCCCTCTCTCTCGCTCTCCCTCTCGCTCACTCTCTCTAACTATCTCTAACTATTTTGCTCTCTGGCTGCCTGTGAGTCATTGTTGAGCTCCTTCTCCTCCTTCTGCTCGTCATCCTTCCCCACTGCGCCTCATTTTCATTAAACTTTAATAGCCTTGTTAGTAAATTTATGTGTGTGTGTGTGTGTGTGTGTGTGTGTGAGCTTTTGCTCAGCTTTTTAGCTCTATTCTCTGTCTGACAGCTAACACGTAATATCCATAACTTATGTAAAACAATGTAAAACAATGGTTATATTAAAAACTAAAGCATATCA